TTTTATATAAAATATCCAGAATCAAGTGATGAAGTTCATATAGATAGTCTTGGTTACCTGATCCACATATCTCACAAGACCAGAGATATACATCGAAATCATTTATTCAGCTAATTTTACCAAGACATTTTCTATCATGCTTCTCAGCATATGCAACAGCTTTAGCCATTTTATTAATAATACGAACGAAATTAACAGACCTGGAATGAGTGTTTTCTTCTAATATACTCTGAGGCGGATACTGAAGTTTTTCAAGATCAATTAGCATTAATTCTTCACGTACAAACCCACGTATTGGTGCGAATTCCCCATCTAAATAATATAAAATTGGTTTGTTTTTTGTTATCACAATTTTGTGGATTTTATGTAAAGAAGGGCTCCAAATTTTATCTGTTGCATGCCTTTGATTTTCCATACCTTCTTTCTATTCTGCATTAGCGAGTAAGAAACGAATGGTATCTCCCTTTTTTAATTTTTCTTCATCTTTACCAACTGAACGTTTGTATTTTGTAGATAGTCTAGACTCTACCCTATCCAATCTAATTGCCTTCATAATCCCATTTCTTTGATCCTGGTGCTTGTATAAGTCATGTTGGATAATTATTCAGATATTTAAGAACATTTGGCAAATGTTTAACCCATGCCCTTATTGATTTAGAATTCCCAGATATAGTTTCAATGGCAGATTGAATCTTGTATAGCATCTCTGCTAATGTTTTACAAAATCTGTCTATGATTGCAAGACCTTGATAAGAATACGGGTCTATAACTCGGATTATAACATTATATGCCTCTATTATTTTTGAAGTTTCACCCATCTATTTATGCCCACTATCGCATTGTAATAAATCAGGCCAGGTAAGAGAGGCATTCAAATTATCATATATTTTCTTAAATGCTTTGGTAACTTCTGAACTGTTTTTCGATATCAATGGAACAGCCCATTTAAAACGGGATGCGACATCTATAACAGTAAGTATCCATTTGTATATCTTTTTATTGACAGTATTATTTGTAAGGCATAACAAATCACATATATGTACGCAGTTTGGACATGAAATTTTTCCATAACTAACTTGTAGAGTAACTTTTGGTAACAGAGCGTATTTTTGCTATTCATTCTGGTTTGTAAGCCACTTATATACCTTTTTATATGGAAACTGATACTCCTCTGCTTTAAGATTTTTTCATAATTTTTGGAGGTTGGAATGATACCCTGTTGGTTGATAGAATAATAATCGGCAAACTAGGGTCAATTCCTTATTAGTACTAATTATGATACTAGGTTGGTTCATTTTTAATACATTTTACTATATTAATAAATTATTATTTGGTAAAGTTTCTAGAAGCGTCGATATATTATAGGCTTGTACAATGTCATTAGATACAATAATGTCTTCACCTAGTAAAACAATCAAAAAATTTGAAGCTAGTTTGCAGATAATAAAAAATCGATTCTGTAAATTACAATGTGACTTAGATTTAAAAGAGGATTATATTAATTACCTTGAAAAAGAAATCTCAATTCGTGATGAGGAGTTAGACCCATTAAGATCAGAAATTTCTAATCTTATAAAACAGTTAAAAAATATATTTAAAGAATCTAAAAAGCAAGAAAATTATATAGATTATTTAGAAAAGCAATTAGCATTTTTTCAGAATAAAATAGACAAGCTTAATGAAAAAATACTTGTTTTGTATAAAAATTCTAATGATACTATAGAGATGGCACAACAACCAGGATCACCTAGATTATCTCTACCTGAAAATCAAGCCACGATCCAAAATAATAGAATTCAGCGAGAGATTAATAATATTAGACAGTATTTTCAAAGCCCAGTCACAATAGCACCTACAATAAATGGTATTGTAGATTATCTTAATATGATTTCAGATGCCGGCAATAGGTTTGAAAGATTGGTACAAGATATATATCCATAGACAAATACTCGTGCAATTAATGCAGAAAATCAAGTAGCAGATTTGCAAACCCAGTTAGCTAATTCACAAACCCAGTTAGCTAATTTACAAACCCAGTTAACCAATTCACAAACCTAGTTAGCTATGCTCCAAAATGACTACGACCTTCTTCACCATGCTTATGGGGCCCACAGAACACAACACAATATATTTAAATCTTAAGAACTTGATGGTCAAATTACAATCCGTATGCAAAAAAGACAAATATCAGAGTTGTTAGCAGAAAAATTTACATTGTGTCTTTTGAATAGACGAACTCAAAAGCAATTACAAAATTGTGAAGCTGATGGAGTGACAACTGCACATCTCTTAAATCTTACAAGAAATCGATATATCAAATGGAAGAGAAAATGCAAAACTTTAAAAAATAATCTATTATTTGCTAATGTTCAGCTCGATCTCAAGTGGGGTAAGTGGAAAGCCCGAGCCCGAAATTCTGAACAATTAATTAATAATTTAAATCAACAAATTTTTGCGCTACAAAATAACCCACCTATAAATAACAATAGAAGAGGTATGGCAGGATATGTACTCCCAACTTACCACGGATATTCTGATGAAGATCCAGAGGAGTTTATTGATTCTTTTCGTTCATATCTTGTGGCTGCCAGAATCGATGTAGCTGGTGGGCATGCCAATAGAGTTCATGTACATGGACTTTTTGAAACATGCCTTAAAGGTGATGCCAAAGATTGGTATGAAAGGTCTCTTCGAAGAAAGAATTGGGAACTGAAAAATTTACTGGATAACACTGGGCAGGCCACTTTAGCTCTGGTTCAAGGACGAACGGTGGTGCAACTTGGTGCAAATTTAAGACATGGTGCTGCAGGTCAAGCTAGAAATATTGTTATTCCAGCTCATACAGTATTTGATGAGAACTGGTTTTTTGCTGATGGTCGTCTAACTGATCGCGTAATAAATCTACCAAATGCCAACGTTGGTCAATCTGTGGTGGCAGATGGGGTTCGACTTGGTCAGGTAATATACTGGCTCAAGACTAACTACCCAACCATTATTGCAGAGAAACAAAGAATGATCTTTGAATCAGCAGTTCAGGGTAGTGATCCCATTGGTCATTTTTATTCAAAATTGCATAAATTGGCTAGACTCGCTAGCATTGATGAACAACAAATTCGATTACAATTTCTTCGTAGCATCTCCCCCGATAACCAATTAGAAATTCGACGCATTGGAATTAACAGGCCTGTTTCTGAATTGCTCACAGAACTCGAAGAGATTGAAAGATATAAGGCCGAGCAATTATTTGGAGCTTATCTGCATTCAAATTCAGATTTGGTATCAACAAGAAAAACCCATAATCTAGATACTAACAAATTGGTGATGACTAAAACTGAAATCGAGGAGTTGGTAAGAAATACAATAGCATCTACTCAATCTGTGCCAGGTAACAAGTTGAAACGTCCTAGTTAAATGGAACCAGGTAAAATATATAGGGACCCAAACTTACGCTTGAATGATCAAGAATGGCTTCGAATAGATAGTGCGACAGATCATCTTAGTGCTTTAGCAGGTCCATCTACTTTACAATCTTTAATAGATACAATTACTAAAGGAGTAGTTGATAAATTTTCTTTCTTCTTGCCTAAGAAAAATAAAGAAAATGTTTTAAAAAATGACGAAGTCGATTTGGATGATGAATTGGCCAATCTTACGAAGAAGCAGTTGAAGTTGCACATAGCTAGGGCTGTTAAAAAAGCTAGAAAGTCGCAACACCATTGCTCAAACTGTAATAGGACTGGACATAATTCTTGCAAGTGTCCGAGAAATAAAAAGAAGAGTAGGTCCAAAAAGAAAGGTAATATTAATAAGGTTACTCTGGATTCAAGCTCAGATACTAACAATTCTTTTAGTAGTGATTCTGGATCTGATTCCTCCGATAATGAATCTGAGTCTAAGGAGTCTTCATCTGAAGTTGAAAGTATGAATGTTAACATTAGCAAGATAAAAAAAAAGTAAAAAAATCTGGCTCACAAAATAAGGATGCTTACGTATCTAAATTATCATCTAAGAAAAAATCTAGTCCAAAAAAATGTACTTTACAAAAGAAATCAGGTACGATTATTGACTCACAAATTCGAAAAATTATTCTAGCTATGTTTAACGATCCAGAGGTTATAGAAACAATTAAAAACAATATTAATAATCTGAATTTAT